TTTAATAATAAAACCAAATTATATTATTTTTAAATTTCGTGTGTTTTATTTGGTTTTATTTGTTTTAACAAATAACTTTGTACACTAGTTATTTATCATTTGATAATAAGCTTACATTAGATTTTCTTTATCTGTTTTCACATTTAATTTGTTTATGTGTAGAAATTGATTAAAAAATAAAGTGCATATGCAAAATAGTAATGTTTTTCAAAGCACTGAATAATTTATTTAATAATTAGAGTTTAATAATCGGCTTATTATTGAACACAACGTTTTGTGTTTAAATACATTTTTATCATTTATTAATAACTCGTTTATTAATAGACATTTGTTTCCAGTTTTACTGTTAAGTCATTCATTGAGTTGTGTTTTAATTAATTTGAATTAAAGTCCAAATAATTTTTGATATTTGTTGTGTTTGTGTCCATTGAAGACATGGATTCACGAAGAAGTCATGTCATGAATGATGACATATTGGGCCTCATTTTCAATGAATTAAATGTCAAACAATTGTTGAGATTAGAGTCGGTTTGCAATCAATTCATGGATTGCATCTCAAGACTAGATTCAGGTTTGGGAAGTGCTCTCCAGAGGAAGAATGCGTTGGCAATCGGATCCATGGATTTTGTTCTTCATAAAGATTACCATTTGTTCAAAGAGGGAGACATTACAGAAGCCATTGTCTGCAAGTCTTCCCATAAATATGTTTTGATTGAAAGCAAAGACACATTGGATTCAATACTCGGGAAGTGTTTTAACGTAAAGTATTTGTATTTAAGCAATGTTATAATTGATGGACAGATATTATCACTGATTACCACTCGATGTCCGCAACTCAAGAGTTTGTATTTGTGTGGCATTCATCTCAATAAACAGCTGGTGAACGCGTGGACACCATTACTCTCTCAATTGTCTCATTTGACACTCGATATGATAACCATTAATGACAAACAAATACCATTACTTTTGTCACAATTATCATCACTTGAATCGATTGAATTGAATTGGACATGGATTGGGAATAAGGATGAAATGCTTAATTATTTGCCGCAAACTATTCGTTGTCTTAGACTAATAAATATGAAAATAGATGGGAAAAGATTGGATGTACTCAGGAAGAGATGTCCGCATTTGGTGACGTTTGTCGCGTATGAACCCGATGGTGGTCAATGGGATCACATGTTGCCCAAGATATGCACTCATTTTAAACTTAAACGTTTAGACATTGAATTGTCCGGAAAGTTGTCGGCGCATGTCTTCACCGAAAACATCCCAAAACTCAATCAATTGAAACATTTGTCTGTGATTTCAAAAATTGATTTTAACGCAAATCACATGCAATCGATGCCTTCACTAAAGTCTCTACACTTGAAATATCTCACGTTTTCTCCCAAAACGTTTCGTTCGTTTAGACAAATGTATCCAAATGTCAAACATTTAAGTCTAAATCTCTATGAATTTAAATGCGAGTGCAATGAACACAATGTGGACACCGATGACGGCGACCATCAAGTGATTGATTGCTTACAATGTGTACACAATTGCATGTATTTTGTGTCACAATTGCCACAACTCAAACAATTGTCTATTAGTACTAATGGATATCATTCGTGGTCCATTGGATCCATTGATCTGAAGCTCTTCTGCGAACTAAACGCATTGTCTTTGTTTGGCAACGAAGACATCGAGGAATGGTTTAACTTTGTATTATATTGTATTGAAAACAGGATTTCCAAGAAGTTATTTAAACTTAGTTTGTGTTCAACTAAAAAGGATTCACTCATCGATTGTTTAAATGATATGAAAGTTACGATTCCTAAGAATATTGTCTTTGGCAATGAATTCTATTAATGTATTCATTAAAATATTAGTCAACTAAACGTTTTTGTCTGAATTTTTTGATACTTTTTAAAATATCTCTTATAAATCAATATCAAATTCAATGATTAGTTTTAACTTTTTCCCCATTTAGTGATTTAATTATGAACTTTTTATTAATCGTTAAATGCCGTTAAAATTGATTTTGTTATTTTAATTATATTATTCAAATTTTGATTGTAAAATAACTAATAATTAATTGTTTTATAAATCAGTGATTTAAAATCACTTAAATCTATGAAATAATTGTGAAATAATATATTGAGTTTTTGAAATTTGTCAACTTTAATAAAATAATATGAATTTTACATAAAATCTATCAAATCTATAATTAATTAATTAATACCGTAATACCTGTGATAGAAATGCATGCAATATTAAGTCAATCTCAGTAAAGGGGTGCAATACTATCTAGGTAAGATTGCACCCTATTTTAGGCCAATTGTATTTTTTATTAGAAATGACATATAATTGCATGCATTTGTGCGCTTTTATTGAAACAGTAAATTTGTTTTAAAAGTCGTTTTGCCTAAAAAACGTTGGCTTAACGATTGAATATCCATTTCCTGTCAATCATTGTGTTTAATGAGAATAAAAATGTCTCAAAATTTTGAATTGTCTGCAAATGCAGACATAAATGAAGTGATAAACATTGATATAAGTGATAATGAAATGGATTTTACGGTAAATAATGGCGAATGTAATTCAGACACAAATAATGCGGCCAAAGACATGTCTCAGCCTTCGAGAAGTACTGCCGCGAAGACAAAGAAGAAGCCGAAAAGAAAGCTTCCAATTCTCATTAAAACCAAACTCGATGTTATTAAATGGTATAAAGAAAACGGTAGAAACAAATGTGAAACTGTTCGACGTTTTGAACATAAATATTCCCGACAAGTGATCGGTATATGGATTAAAAGAGAGGAAGAATACAACAAAATGGCGGCCAACAGATCAATAAGTGTTAAGAAGAGATGCCGTATAATGAAAGAAAGGAAACCAAAGTTCAAAGAAGTAGACTCTCAAGTGTTTCAATGGTTCCGTACACGAAGAGAAGCACGACTTGATGTCACAGGGGATCTAATAGTAGGAAAAGCGCTCGAAGTCTTTGGGAACATGGATAGGACCGACGGACAGGCATTCAGTGCATCGAATGGATGGCTTCAGGGGTTTTTAGGTCGAAATAGGTTGACATCTCGAACGGTAACATCTGTTGGCCAAAAAATACCAGAAAATGCCGCAGAAATTTGTCGGTCATTTTTTGACCGAATCGACACATTTAGGCAACAAATGAATGGATCAAATTGTGTGGTCCTAAATATGGACGAAATGCCCGTGTGTTTCGACTCACCAAACCTTAGGACTTACGACACAATTGGCAACAAAACAATCCAAATCAAAACCACTGGAAATGAAAAATTGAGATTCACTCTCATGTTGTGCGCGTATAACGATGGCCGCCGATGTATGCCTGCAATCATTTTCAAGGGTTTGAAAAAAGTCCCGAAAAAGGAAAAATTCCCGCCCGGAATTAAGATTATGGTCAGCAGTAAGGGTTCTGTTAATACAGATTTAATGAATGAGTGGAGGTCGAGTGTGTACAAGTGTCGGCCCGGTGGTGTATTTTTGAATATACACAGCAAACGACTAAATGGCCCGATGTATAGAACTCTGCTGACCATTGACGCGGCCACACCTCACAGAAACCTTGCTTTTAAGAAAGCGATTGGCATTCAAAATGACACTAAAGTCGAAATAATTCCTTCTGGAATGACACCACTTCTACAACCCGCAGATCTTTCGTGGAACCGTTCGGTTAAGCTTTCAATTAAGAAGCAATGGTCAGAGTGGATGAGTGCCCCGAAGGAACCCAAAGATCTCAGCAAAAAGGGAACCGTTAAGCGGCCGTCGTATTCATTGGTCGCCAATTGGTGTCTTACGGCTTGGAATGAATTGCCGACGCAACAGATCATCGATAGCTTTCGGTATTGCAATATGGGGTCAGTTCGAGACGATTCTGCCCTTCACTCACGGCTTATAGAGCTCTTAAGCAATGATGGTATACCTGAACCCGAATCGTCTGAACCATCGGGTCTGACCGACACTGAATCTGAAGGCGAAGAATGCGAAGAAGTAATAGATTTTGCAGAAGATTTTTCTCAAATGAATATCAATTGATTATTAATTGCAATGTAATACGAATAATAAAAACTTTGAATTTATAACCTGTACTGAATTTTATATACTATTGCATGCAATCATATGTCATTTTTAGTGAAGGGGTGCAATACTACCTAGGTAAGATTGCATATGATTTTAAAAAAACATAATTTTACTGAAATTGACTTAATATTGCATGCATTTCTATCACAGGTATTACGGTACAATCAAAAATTTTTGTCAATATTCAACCACTTGTTTAGCAAATCGTTTTGATGGCAATTATGCAGTGCTCTGAGCGCTGGCCACCCATTCTTGGCCGACGACAGGGCGTACACATGGGTCGGGTCCGTACGGTATGAGTGGGCGCCCAATACCAGTGACTGACAGAATCGGGCCTTAATGCACGTCTAGTCAAATTCAGGTGAAAGTAAAATTATATACCATTAATAAAGTTATAAGTTATAAAATAGTTGCAATTTAATTAATTTACAACACAAAACAAACAATACTAACGGACAGGACATTTAGCTCATTATCCGTGAGCTTAATGAACTCGGTATAGCCCTTGAGGCCGAACCCGGGCGCCAGTATCTGCGGTCCGGCCGTAAACATAAGCATACTATAGCAGAGATAAATAGCCAGGTCAAACACACGCGGCGCGTACTGCACGTCCGAGAAGTCAATCACACCGCGCAAGTGGTACTGGCCGTCGACATCGGGCGATCTCTTGTCCACAATAATGTTCATCTCGTTGTAATCTCCGTGAATGAACGAGTGCTCAAACGTGTCCAGCCGTCGGACGACTGTGCGCTCGAACTCGTCCAACGCCGCCGACACTATCGCCCGGTCCTCCAGATTCTCGACGGCGTCCAAGTATTGCCGTACGTCCAGCACCTGCAGCAATGACCATGGTGACCCACGGCCACCTCTCAGCACTGGGCTGTCATATGTCTGTTCAAAATAGTGATTATGGTGATAATGGTTATGTGTGCGGACATTGGTATGTGTATAGACCTGGAGGGCGATTGTCATCTTAGCCAACACTTGGCCGCACTCCGTGAGTATGGCCGGAGTGAAGGGCACATCCCGGAGCAGTTGACCGCTGACGTACTCCAATAGTCTGACCC